TTTTTGCTGCAGCTTCCAGGTCTGGTCCTGAGTCTGCCCCCTGCTCGTGTCGTCTCCTGTCCCACCAGACTCTCCTCTGGAACCACCGCCTTGGTCACCCCTCCTTGCCTCGTTTTTGAGGCATGGCCTCCCGTGTCCTTGTCTCTGGTCTCCCCCGGTCCCTCCCTCCCCTTCCCCTGGGGCCTGCCCCTACCTGCATTCCCTGCGTCGAGGGGCGGCAGCGCGTCGCTCCTCACTCCTCCGAGTTTCCTCCGACAGAGCCTCCGCTGCAAACGCTTCACATGGACGTGTGGGGCCCAGCCCGCGCCCATGGAGAGGGTCACGAGCGTTACTTCCCGCTGGTGGTTGACGACTACTCGCGTTACACCGCAGTCTTCCCCTTGCGCATCAAGGGTGACATCACTGAGGTGTTGGTCGACTGGATCCGCGCTTCCCGTCTCCTGCTCAGAGACAGTTTCGACTTGGACTTTCCTGTTTTGCGTCTGCACTCCAACAGAAGTGGAGAGTTTTCCTCCGACCTTCCGCGAGCCTTCTGTCGTGCACGAGGCATCCGCCAAACGTTCACGCTTCCGGCCTCTCCACAACAAAATGGGATTGCTGAGCGCCGCATTGGCATGGTCATGGACGTCGCTCATACGTCCATGATCCATGCGACTGCTCCCCATTTTCTGTGGCCGTTCGCGGTTTAGTACGCGGCGCATCAGATCAACATTCAGCCCCGGGTCTCCTTGCCGGAGACCTCCCCTACTCTGCGGTGGACGGGGAAGGTTGGTGATGCGTCTGCATTCCGTTTCTGGGGATCTCAAGCTTTTGTCCGCGACTTGTCTGTGGACAAGCTGTCCCCCCGTACTGTTCCCTGCGTCTTCCTTGGCTTCCCCCCTGACACGCCTGGGTGGCAGTTTTACCACCCCACCTCGCGCAGTGTTCTGTCCTCCCAGGACGTCACATTTAACAAGTCGGTTCCTTACTACCGTCTCTCCCCTACCGCACTGCACCCCTCCCCCCCCCGCCGCTCTTCCTCGCGCCAATCCCCCCACCGGTAGACCCCCTTCCTCCTTACGGTCCTGCCCCCTCAGGTATGTCTAAGGTAGACGCAGTCGAGCCTGTCGAGGTAGCTGTTGACTCTGGTGCTGCTAGGGATGCTGAGCCCGCGGGTGTGGGGTCTGGGGGTGCTGAGCCCGAGCGTACGGAGCCTGGGGGTGTTGGGTGTGGGGGTGCTGAGCCCGGGGGTGCGGAGCCTAGGGTTGCTGAGTCTGGGGGTGCTGAGCCTGAGGGTGCTGGGCCTGCTCGTGTGGAGTCTGGCGGTGCTAGGCCTGGAGGTCCTTCAGATGCTTCGTCCTAGCGGGAGCTACCCTCTCCACAGGAGCTGCATGAGTGGTTTGCTCGGTGCTGGAGCCGTACTGCCGGGGCTGGAGGTTCTACTGCTGCTGGGGGTGCTGGAGACACAGGTCCCGGAGGTGCTCGTACTGGAGGTACAGGAGCTGCTGGGCCTAGGGGTGCTCCTGGTGCTGGAGCTGCTGGCGGTGCTAGAGCTGGCGGTGCTACTGGAGTGGGTGCTACTGGAGGTGCTGGAGCTGGAGCTGCTGAGTCTTTCAATGGTCCTGCTGGAGCTGTAGCTGCTGGAGGTGCTGGAGCTGGAGGTGGTGCTGGAGCCAGTGCTCCTGTGAGTGCTTGTGTTGCTACTCCTGGAGCTGGTGGAGCTGCTGGAGTCAGAGCCAACCCTGGGGGTGCTGGTGCTGTCCCTAATGAGCACGTGGCCACGGCCGTACTTCGTTCCGCTCGTTGAGCAGGTTCTTGGTCCTCCGCCCTCTTCTAGTCCTACTCCTTCCTTAGAGTGTCCACTGGCTGTCCAGACCGAATCACAGTTACAGCCCGCTACCCCACTACCTGCTCCTTCTCCTTACACTGGTCCTACAGGAGGTCTTGCTGAGCGTCCTGAGCCTGCGTCTCGTCCTGCGTTGCCTGTTCGTGCTGCTCGCACTAGTCGTCGTGTTCCGCGTCAGCGTCCTCTTGCGATCCCAGGCATGCACCAGATGGCACTGCGTCCTTCCACTGCTCCACTACGTGTCCCTTTGCCGTCTCCTCTAGAGTCCTCTCTTCCTGCTCTTGCTGACCCGGAGTCTGACTTTCTTCGTGCTGCCAGTCCTACTGTCACGCGTCTCCTGGCTACTGTTGTCAGTGACCCTTCCTTTGAGTCCTCTGCTGCGTCTGCCTTAGTTGCTGAGCTTGTCGACTTCGCTGCTCACTGTCGTCTAGACTACGCTGCCAGTCTTGTTGCTGAGTCTGAGTCGATCTGTCCTCCGTCCGTCGGGGGTGAGTGTGCTCTTAGCACGGACGTCCTTGAGGACAGGCAGGAGGAATTCCAGTATTTTGCTGCTGCTTTACCTCATCTCATGTCCATGCTGATTGCCCCTGAGGGAGACCCGGATGCACCAGACATCCCAATTCCGCCCTCTTACGCAAAGGCAATAGAGGGTCCCTACTCCTCTTAGTGTCAGTCAGCGATGGATGCAGAGATGGCTTGCTCGAATTCCATAGGCACCTACGTTGACGAGGTTCCCCCTCCTGGGGCGAACATCGTCAGTGGCATGTGGATTTTCAGGGTGAAGCGGCCGCCGGGTTCTCCGCTTGTCTTCAAAGCACGTTACGTGGCTCGAGGCTTTAGTCAGCGGCAAGGAGTTGACTACTTTCAGACCTTCTCTCCCACTCCGAAGATGAAAGTCTGAAGGTCTGAAGATCCCCTCCTGCCCCCCCCTGAACCTCCAAGCTCCCCCCCTCTCCCAACACAAGGTGCGGCAGGGAGAGAGAGAGGAGGAGGCGTGGCGGTAGCTGCTGCTGCTGAGGCACATCCGCCACCCCCTCACACCCTCTCCCCGCCATCCCCATGGAGGGGGGGGAGGGGGGGGAGGGGGGCGGGGGCGGAGCTGTGTGTGCGATTGTAGGGCACGCGGGCAGGAGGAACCCCCTCTTGCCACCCCCTCAGCCACCATGTTGCAACAGGGCACCGGGGCCGCGGTTAGGGGCGGCAGGTCGAGAGGGGCCATGGCTAGGGGCGACGGGGCCATGGCTAGGAATGGGGCTGGGCAGGTACGGGGCCGGGCGTTGGGCAGGTACGGGGCCGGGCGCTGGGCAGGTACGGGGCCAGGCACTGGGCAGGAACGGGGCCGGGCGCTGGGCAGGTACAGGGCCGGGCGCTGGGCAGGTATGGGGCCGAGCGCTGGGCAGGTACGGGGCCGGGCTCTGGGCAGGTACGGGGCCGGGCGTTGGGCAGGTACGGGGCCGGGCGCTGGGCAGGTACGGGGCCGGGGCGCGGGCTAAGTACGGGGCCGGGCGCGGGCGTTATACGGGCCGGGCGCGGGCTAGGTACGAGGCCAGGCGCTGGCGACAGACGGGGCCGGGTGCAGGCTAGGTACGGGCCGAGCGCGAGCAAGAGACGGGGCCGGGCGCAGGTGTGAGATGTGGCCGAGCGCGGGCTAGGCACCGGCCTGTCGCGGGCTAGGCACGGGCCGGGTGCGAGGCTAGGAACGAGCCGATCGCGGGCTAGGTACAGGCCGGGCGCGGGCGCGAGACGGGGCCGGGCGCGGGCTAGGTACGGGCCGATCGCGGGCTAGATACGGGCCGGGCGCGGGCGACGGAATTGACGGGGCCAGCGGGGTCGAGCTAGGGGCGACGGGGCCAAGGGGCCGAGCCTGGGGGCTAGGGGCGACGCCAAGGAGCGACGGGCCGGGGCCTAGGCTAGCAGGGCATTAGGTGGTGGGCCCATTAATGTGAGGTCCTAAGAACTATTGCTCTCATACCATGTTAGAATACTAGCGTGACTTAGGAGCCATGGCAAGTGAGTGTCGAGAGAATTTTGGGGGAGGAAAGTTGAGAAGGAAGAATGAGGGGTTTCACTATAGAAAGTTGGGATACAAATAGCAAACCCTAAACTGGGTTGTACTCACTACAGAGTACCCCACTACGGGCTAAACAGCAAATACATTCTGACACCCACCTGCCTGCTAGTTCATTCATTCCTCATTTCTTCACATGGTATAGAGCAGGTTCCCTAGTGTGAACGCTTCCTTGGGCCCACCACTGAATTATTTTTTTTTCTGATCGGAGCGCCAGTTGCTCCTGCCCGAGGCGCGCCTTATGGGCCGCCCTTCTGTCGAGCTCTCTTAGAGGCTCCTCTCACGGCCCCTCGCGCCACCCTTAGCGGCCCCGTCGGCGCCCCTAGTGTCCCCGTCGCCGCCCTTCCAGGCCCCTCGCGGCCCCTAGCAGCCCCGTCACCGCCCCTACGCGGCCCCGTCGCCGCCCCTTGCGGCCCCGTCGCCGCCCCTAGCGGCCCCGTCGCCGCCTCTCTCCCTACGCGGCCCCGTCGCCGCCCCTACGCGGCCCCGTCGCCGCCCTTAGCGGCCTCGTCGGCACCCCTACGCGGCCCCGTCGCCGCCCCTAGCGGCCCCGTCGCCGCCTCCCTCCCTACGCGGCCCCGTCGTCGCCCCTACGCGGCCCCGTAGCCGCCCCTAGCGGCCCCGTTGCCGCTCCCCTCCCTACGCGGCCCCGTTGCCGCCACTACCCGGCCTTGTTGTTGCCCCTACGCGGCCCCGTCGCCGCCCCTACGCGGCCTCGTAGCCGCCACTAGCGGCCCCGCCGCCGCTCCCCTCCCTACGCGGCCCCGTCGCCGCCTCTACCGGCCCTGTCGCCGCCTCTACCGGCCCCTTCACCGCTGAACCGCCCAGCAGCTGAGCAGCCGAGCCCCCAAGCCGCCGAGCAGCCAAGCCGCCCAGCAGCCGAGCCGACGAGCCGCCCAGCAACCGAGCCGCCGAGCCGCCCGACAGCCAAGCCGCCCAACAGCCGAGCCGCTGAGCCGCCCAGCAGCTGAGCCGCTGAGCCGCCGAGCCGCCTAGCAACCGAGCCGCCGAGCCGCCCTGCCGTCGAGCCGCTACAGGTCCTACCGACGCGACCCGGCCCTACTTACTCGGACTGGTGAGATCACTCCCTGCTAGGCCACTGCAGTCATGGCTACCCCCAGTGTCCTTACCTTTGATGCTGAGGGTCGTGCTGTTGACTTTGAGGTCTGGGTCGATGACCTCCAGCTGTTCCTAAAGTGCGATAGGGCAGACGGACTCTCCCTGTTTGATCTCACCTCTGGTGCCTCTCCTTCCCCGCCTGCTACTGCCGAAAGCACCGTTCGCTCACAATGGGCCACACGCGATGCTGCTGCCCGTCTTGCTGTGCGTCGCCACTTACCGACCATTGAGCGTGCGCACTTTAGCCAGTACAAGGGTGCTCAGACCTTGTACAATGCTGTAGTTGCACGCCACTCTTCCCCTGCCACTGCTGCGCTTAGCCGCCTCATGCTACCGTACCTGTTCCATGACCTTGCTGCCTTTCCCACTGTCGCTGACCTCATTACGCACCTTCGCACTAGCGACACTCGCTACCGCGCTGCGCTTCCTGCTGAGTTCTGTGTCAAGAACCCCCCCCCTCTGTACATCACCCTCTACTACATAGTCACCCGCCTCCTTGACTCCCTTCGCTTAGTCAGGGACCACTTCCTCTCAGTTTGCCCCACCACACTCACCGTTGACCTCCTCGAGGAGCGCCTCCTAGCAGCAGAGAAGAGCATAGTTGCTGTAGGAGCCTCTCGTGGTGACCCTCGCACCCCCGTCTTTAAGGGGTGTTCCCCCTCCCCCCTCTTGCCCTCTGTTGCTTCTGCTGCTGTGGCAGACCTCGTTGGTTTCGAGTCGGTCGGCGCTGCGTCTGCCCCTGGCGGGAGACGCAGCACCGGCAAGGGCAAGGGGGGCAAGGGCGCAAGAGGGGCTGGCGGGGGCGGTGGAGGTGGTAGTGGAGGCTGTGGAGGGGGTGGGGGTGGTGGTGGGAGTGGTGGCGGGGGTGGATGTAAAAATCCCAACCATTAGACCATTGGGATAAAAGGGCTTGTTTCTGTAGCAGGTCAGTGCACCCGTAACCCCCCAGGCGAACGCGCTTGTAACCCTCTCCAGGATCAATCAGGCGTCCACAGTGCAGATCCACTGACACCCCCCCACACAAAGAGGCCCAGGACTAAGAACAGCGGCAACGTCCTAAATGTGCATACACCGGGAATCGAACTCGAGACTGCTTTGATACCATGTCAGAATCCCAACCATTAGACAATTTGGATAAAAAGGGCTTGTTTCAGTAGTGGGTTAGTGCACCCATAACCCCCCAGGCGAACGCGCCTGTAACCCTCTCCAGGATCAATCGGGCATCCACAATGCAGATCTATTGACAGTGGAGGTGTCGGTGGCAGAAGTGGAGGCGGAGGAGGCGGCGGCGGTGGCGGAGGGAGCGGAGGCGGCGGAGGTGGCGGAGGCGGAGGCGGCAGCGGTGGAGCTGGCCGCAGCTCTACGCAGAGGAGTGGGTCAGGTGGTGGTCCGCGCCAGCAGTAGCAGCGCAGTCATGAGACCCTGTCCCCTCAGCAGCTTTGTGAGTGGTACGCTGGGCGTCAGCGGGGTGGGGGTACCGGTCAGGTAGTTGCGTCGAGTTTGGTATTTTCTGCAGCGTCCAGGTCTGGTCCTGAGTCTGCTCCCTGCTCGTGTCATCTGCTGTCCCACCAGACTCTCCTTTGGCACCACCGCCTTGGTCACCCCTCCCTGCCTCGTCTCCGAGGCATGGCCTCCCGTGTCCTTGTCTCTGGTCTCCCCCGGTCTCTCCCTCCCCTACCTCCGGGGCCTGCCCCTACCTGCGTCCCCTGCGTCGAGGGGCGACAGCGCGCCGCCCCTCGCTCCTCCGAGTTTCCTCCGACAGAGGCTTTGCTACAGACTCTTCACATGGACGTGTGGGGCCCCGACCGCGTCCGCGGCCAGGGTCACGAGCATTACTTCCTGTTGGTGGTTGACGACTACTTACGTTACACCGCAGTCTTCCCCTTTCGCAGCAAGGGTGACGTCACTGCAGTGTTGATCGACTGGATCCGCGCAGCTCATCTCCACCTTAGAGAGAGTTTCGGCTCCGACTTTCCTGTTCTGCGTCTGCACTCGGACAGAGGCGGGGAGTTTTCCTTTGCCCGTCTGGGAGCCTTCTATTGTGCACACTGCATCCACCAAACCTTCACGCTTCCGACCTCTCCACAGCAAAATGGGATTGCTAAGCGCCGCATTTGCATGGTCATGGACGTCGCTCGTACATCCATGATCCATGCGGCTACCCCCTATTTTCTGTGGCCATTTGCGGTTCAGTATGCAGCGCATCAGCTCAACCTTCAGCCCCGGGTCTCCTTGCCAGAGACCTCCCCCACCTTGTGGTGGACGGGGAAGGTTGGCGATGCGTCTACGTTTTGGGTCTGGGCATCTTAGGCGTTTGTCCGCGACTTGTCTGCGGACAAGCTGAACCCCCTGTGCTGTTCCCTGAGTCTTCCTTGGCTTCCCCCCTAACGCACCTGGGTGGCAGTTTTACCACCCCACCTCGCGCCATGTTCTGTCCTCCCAGGACGTCACCTTTGACGAGTCGGTGCCTTACTACCGTCTCTTCCCCTACCGCACTGCGCCCCTCCCCCTGCCGCCGCTCTTCCTTGCGCCAGATCCTCCCCCGGTGGACCCCCTCCCCCCTCAGGGTCCTGCCCCGTGAGGTGTGTCTGAGGTAGACGCAGTCGAGCCTGCCGAGGAAGCTGTTGACTCTGGTGCTGCTAGAGGTGCTGAGCCTGCGGGTGCCGGTTCTGGAGGTGCTGAGCGTGAGGAAGCGGAGTTTGGGGGTGTAGAGTCTAGGGTTGCGGAGCTCGGGGGTGCTGAGCTTGGGGGTGCTGAGTCTGGGGGTGCTGAGCCTGGGGGTGCTGAGCCTTGGGGTGCGGAGCCTGGGGGTGCTGGGTCTGCTCGTGTAGCCTCTCGCGGTGCTTTGTCGAGGCGGGAGCCACTCTCTCCGCAGGAGCTGCGCGAGTGGTTTACCCGGCGCTGGAGCCGTGCTGTTAGAGTTGGAGGTACTACTGCTGCTGCTGGTTCCGGAGGTGCTCGTACTGGCGGTACTGGAGCTGCAGGGGCTGTTGGGGCTGCTGGAGTTGGTCCTGCTGGAGGTACTGCTGGAGCTGCTAGCGGTACTGGAGCTGCCGGTCCTGCTGGAGTTGGTGGTACTGGAGCTGCTGGAGCTGGAGCTGCAAGGGGTGTTGGCGCTTGTGGTTCTGCTGGCCGTGGTGCGTTTAAGGGTGCAGTAGTTGGCGCTGTTGGCGTTGGAGGTGCTGCTGGCGCTGGTGCTGCCGCTGGGGGTACTGGTGCTGTCCCTACAGGTTATGGCGGCGCTGTGCGGCTGAGGCCGTACTTCGTTCCGCTCCTTGAGCAGGTTCTTGGTCTCCCGCCCTCTACTGGTCCTGCTCCTCCCTTAGAGTGTCCACAGCCTGTCCATTCGCGGTCACAGTTACAGCCCGCCTCCCCCCTACCTGCTCCTTCTCCCTACACTGGTCCTACTAGAGGTCTTGCTGAGCATCGTGAGCCTGATCTCGTCCTGCATCGCCTGTTTGTGCTGCTCGCACTAGTAGTCGTGCTCCGTGTCCGCGTCCTCCTGTAGTCCAAGGCACACACCTGATGGCGCTACGTCCTTCCACTGCTCCTCTGCGTGTTCCGTTGCCGTCTCCTCCAGAGTCCACTCTTCCTATTCTTGCTGACCCGAAGTTTGACTCTCTTTGTGCTGCCAGTCCTACTGTCACGCGTCTTTTCGCTACTGTTGTCACTAACCCTTCCTTTGAGTCCACTGCTGCGTCTGCCTTAGTTGCTGAGCTTGTCGACTTTGCTGCGCGCTGTCGTCTAGACTACGCCGCTAGTCTTGTTGCTGAGTCTGAGCCTGTCTGTCCTTCGTCCGTCGGGGGTGAGTGTGCTCTTAGCACAGACGTCCTTGAGGACAGGCAGGAGGAGTTCCAGTGTTTTGCTGCTGCTTTGCCTCATCTCGTGTCCACGCTGATTGCCCCTGAGGGAGACCCGGATCCACCAGACATCCCGACTCCTCGATCGTACGCTGAGGCGATCGAGGGTCCCTACTCCTCACAGTGGCAGTCAGCCATGGACGCAGAGATGGCTTCCTGGAAGTCCATACGCACCTACGTCGACGAGGTTCCCCCACCTGGGGCGAACATCGTCAGTGGCATGTGGATCTTCAGGGTGAAGCGGCCGCCGGGTTCTCCGCCTGTCTTCAAGGCGCGTTACGTGGCTCGAGGCTTCGGTCAGCGGCAGGGAGTTGACTACTTTCAGACCTTCTCTCCCACCCCGAAGATGACCACTCTTCGGGTGCTGCTGCACATAGCCGCTCAGCGCGACTACGAGCTTCACTCTCTTGATTTCAGCACAGCTTTCATGCAGGGCAGCCTGCACGAGGAGATCTGGCTACGCCGCCCACCTGGCTTCACTGGGTCGTTTCCTCCTGGTACCCAGTGGAGCCTCCGGCGGCCAGTCTACGGTCTGCGCCAGGCGCCCCGTGAGTGGCACGACACACTGAGGACTACACTTGCGGCTCTTGGGTTTGCTCCTTCTACAGCCGACCTGTCGCTGTTTCTGCGCACCGACACCTCTTTGCTGCCGTTCTACATCCTCGTGTACGTCGACGACTTGGTCTTTGCCACTGTTGACACTGCTAGACTCGCCCACGTGAAGTCCGAGCTGCAGAAGAGACACACGTGCACAGACCTGGGTGAACTGCGCAGCTACCTTGGCTTGCAGATCACCCGGGACAGAGCACAGCGCACCATTACCTTGATCAGTCACACATGGTGCAGCAGGTCCTTCAGCGCTTTGACTTCACGTACTCCTCGCCTCAGGCCACTCCTCTGTCTACTCGCCACTCGCTCTTACCTCTGCCTTCGGATGAGTCCGTAGAGTCGAGTGGCCCGTACCCAGAGCTTGTTGGCTGCCTCATGTACCTGATGACCTGCACACGACCTGACCTAGCATACCCTCTTAGCATCTTGGCACGCTATGTTGCTCCTGGGAGACACAGACCAGAGCACATGGCTGCAGCGAAGAGGGTGTTGCGCTACTTGTGCAGTACGTCGGGCATGGGGCTAGTGCTTGGAGGGCTACGTCGAGTGGTCCTCACAGGTCACGCAGATGCTTCTTGGGCTGATGACCATGCTACGCAGCGGTCGTCACAGGGTAACACCTTCAGCCTTGGTTCCGGCTCTGTTTCGTGGCGGTCTACCCGCTCGTCTTCTGTTCTCGGCTCCAGTTGTGGGGCTGAGATCTACGCGGGGGGCATGGCTTCACAGGAGCTACGCTGGCTCACCTACCTGCTGTCTGACCTAGGAGAGCCGCCTCGTTCTCCTCTAGTTCTATACGTAGACAACAAGGCCATGCTGGCCTTGTGTTGGGAGCATAGAACGAAGCACGTTACTCTTCGTTACTTCCTAAGCACTTCCGTCTGGCGATCATCAGCGCTTCTGTACGATGCTAGGTCTTGTGCCTACTTGGCCTCACTTGCTCACTTCTTGACCTTGCTTGTACTGTGATCTTTCTATACCTGCACTTGCCTGTTTACCTTTATATATGATCTTGCATGTGAACTGGCCTTTTGGCCTTGCTCTTGTGCTCGGATTGTGAGGTGATGTTGTGATCCACCCTGAGCTTGCTTTGCTTTGCTTGACTGGTCTTGTGACCTCTTGTTCTCCCCCACTTCGCCTATGGGGGTGTGTCAAACTTATATGCTTTAGTTTGTATAGGTTGTAGTGGGGTAGAGTATATGGGGTACAACACTTCTAGGTTTTCCTACTTGTACCCACCTGCCTGCTAGTTCATTCATTCCTCATTTCTTCACACCCACCACTGACACCACCGACTCGGTCACCCCTCTCTGCCACCAACAAAATTGGGGGAGGATGGAGGAAGATAAAGGAGAAGGGGCTGGGGGGAGGAAAGATTGGAGGGATGAGGGAACGGGAAGGAAAATGGAGGGATGGAGAATTGAAGTTAAAAACTAGTGAGTGCGACAGAGGCATTATGTTTGGCAGGTTCAGCAGGTTCGGCAGGTTTGGCAGGTTTGGTTGGTTCAGTAGCGGCAGCAGCAGAGGTATCAGGGGGAGCAGCCGAGACAGCGGAGAAGGAGGGCTTACCACGGAGACCGCAGGTGCTCTGGCGATGAGATGGCTTTCCCTGCTCACACACATCCTAACACCACCACCACCACTGCCATTGGCTGCTGTACTAGCAGCACCAGCAGAAACAACAGTACTAGTAGCAGAAGCAGAAGAAGAATCATCAGCATCAGCACCATCAGCACCATCATGACCAGCAGAAGTAGTGGGGGTGGAGGCAGGGAGGAGGTACCCCCTGACCCGAGCCACCACGGCTACCATGTCTGCTCTGGACAGGCGATCTGCCCCCCTTGCATTCAACGTTAGGGCCAAGCGCTCGCCGATGGGTTGAGTGGGAGAGCAGGGAGGGGAAAGAGGGGTCGGACGGGTTAACATTTCCGGGGCGCCTCAGAAGTCATGACAAATGGTCTTGCCCTCCCATGTTCAGCGTTAGGGCCATGCGCTCGCCTGATGGGGTGGGTTGTGTGGGAAAGCGAGGAGGGCAGGGGGTTGGATAGACGGGGTGGGCAATGACCATTGATGCAACGGCCATTGCTACAAATTGGCATTGGAGAGAGACAATGTGTCAGTGTCCCCACTGCCTCTCAGTGTCCCCCGTCCCGGGTTTCTACGTCAGGGGGCATGGACAGTCCTTGTTCTGCCCTCATGGACGAGAAGAGAGGAGACGGCCCAGCCCAGCACAAGAATTGTATGAGCATTTTGGGATGCAGGCCGGTTCGTGGCATATGATCGGAGGAGTCCAGTGAACTCCGGATTTTGAGGCGCCTCAAAACCGCGAGACATGAGACGACTATTGAGGCGCCTCAAAACCGCGAGACATGAGACCAATTTTGAGGCGCCTCATTAATAGGAAGAGTCCCCTAATCTCCACTCGGAATCAGAAAGGCACGCACCTTGGGCGTGTCGATGCATGAGTGCTTGGACATTGCGGGGGTAGTCGTGCACGTAGACGGGGCAGCGGTGCTCATCGTAAAAAAAGGACGCTGGTTGGCCCGATGCCAACGCAGAGTGCAGTGCTCCATTCATCCACTGGTGGAGGGGGCGGGAAGGGAGGGGGGAGAGGGGAGAGGGGAAGGGAGAGGAAGAAGAAACGGAGAACGGAGACGAAGAGGAAGAGGGTAAGGGAGTCAGGGAGTCGTTTGGTCTGACTGAGAAGTGTTGTCCGGTGGCCTGATGTTGGGGGGTAGTGCGATGTTGAATCTATCCATGGTGGGTGAGGGGAGCAAGGAGAGTGCGGTGGAGGGGGGAGGGACGAAGGTGGGTAGGGATGAACCGGGAAAGGGATGACAGAGACAGTGGAACGGAAAGTGGGGAGGAGGGGACGGGCGGGAAGAGGAACAAATCAAGTGCAAAATATGACATTGCAAAACATGAACTAGCAGCAAGCACACATCATAGCATGATTCAAGTAAAGCAGTTGCGCAGAACCATGGCTGCACACTCTACTTCGTATCACCTCCATCACCACAGCATACAGCACAATTCCCTCTCCCACATCCCCCTTGTCCTGTCCTCCTCTGCGCTCCTTCCCCCTCTCCTCCCAGTTTCCATACCATCTCGCCCCTCGCCTCACCTGCAGCGGCAGGGTTTTTTTCGGAGGCACGGGTGGAGGCGGACCCACGATGATTAAGGCACTTCGAAAAAGACTCCCATTGACTCTCACCTGCAGTGGCAGGGTCTTTTTCAGAGGCACAGGTGGGGGCGGACCCACGATAATACTGCTGCGCATAATAGCGTAGCTGCCCCACCACTGCTCGCGCCCGGCCTGCTCCCCTGCCACCTTGCTCCTCCCGTACGTGTTCACTGCCAGCAACGAATCATCCTCCTTGTAAAACGACTTGGTGCCCTCGTAGACTTGGGGGGGGAAGAGGGGGAGACAGAGAGGAAGAGGAGGGGGGAAGAAAGAAAGGGTGTTCTCTTTTTTCTTTCTCTTTTCTCCTGGGGAGATGCCATGTAGAGGCAACTTTGTGGACTGGGGGAAGAGGAGGAAGAGAGGGGGAGGGGGAGGGGAATGCCATGGCCAATGCCCGCGCACAGCTTGCTCCCCTGCCACCTTGCTCCTCCCGTACGCATTCACAACACGGATCATCCTCCTTGTAAAACGTCGTGGTACCCTCGTAGACTGAAAAGGGGAAAGGAGGGGGGGACGCAGCGAGGCAGACGTGAGAGGAGGAGGTGGAAAAGGGGGGGGGGGGGGTCTATGGCCAGGGCAGGGTCGCTCTCGCACTGCCTTGGCACGGACATGGCTGCACAGTTGACCACCACGTCCGGCTGATGAGGAGAGGTGGGGGGGGGTGCGATGAGACGGGGTGGGGTGGGGTGGGGGGGCTTTGGGTTAAGTTTTACGGTGGAGATCCGTCGTGGAAGGGCATCATACGTAACTTGGAAAACCTTTCAATACTTCGCATGTTCAACCGTTTTTTGCTCCCTAACCCAGGCGCTCAATCGCCTCTCACTTTGCACCCTAATCTCGATCCTCAGTTTTCAGTCTCAGCGATTCCATCCCAACCCACCAACAATGAGAACCTCCATTGCGTGCCTCACAACGGTACCTTGGTATGAGGGTGAATAGGGGAGACTAGCAAGAGATATATTGTCGTCCCGTTTTTTATTCCAGGAAAGTGGAGTTGTTATTTGCTGGAAGCCCACGGTTCACGCATTCAGGCAACTACCCTGCTATTGTATCACTTCACTTATGTTTATACTGGTATACTTCAGTACTACACCAGATTTAACATATTGTATTTCATACTACATCAGACCTTATTATGATGCGCAGTGTGAAATCACTAGACACGAATCACGATTCGATTACCTGTTGTTCAATGGACAAATGGCTCTAGGGTCGTGTATTAACTCATCAAAGAATGGATGTATCTTTCGGTCAAAGAATGGATGTATCTTTTGGTACATTATTGCAACGACGAGGCATCACAATCGATGATGAGTATGAGTTGGTAGCAGAAAGGGGTGTGGGAGGGAGGATGTTTATGCAACAGGAAAGTAAGAGGTGTGGGGGGCAGGTTGAGCTGGCAGCAGCAAAGGGGGTGGAAAGATGGATGATTAATTATGTCAAATGTTATCTTCAAAGTGCAGCTTGCACAGTAATCAACCCAGCTTATCTCTGACATAGGGGTGTATTGAATCAGACAGCAGTGTGTATGTTAGGCCCGCTGGCCTAAATCCGCTAAAGATTAGCGGGGTCGACTAAGTCGAGGATAAATGCGGCGGAAGACTTTGGCGAAAGAGAGTGTTGGCGAAATAGGCAAAAAAGTAACTGAGTAATTAAGAGTTGAATGAGAACTGATTGAAATGAGGGAATACAAGCAAGGTTGATATAGCATGCAAGACCGAATGATGGAAAGTACTTCGTGGGACTAGAAAGTAGAAGCAAGAAAAGTAGAGTGCCACGTGGCACTAGGAAATCTGAAAAGATAAGGATAAGGATGGGGTTGGAAGTACTGTTCAAAGTGAACAGTAAACACCCCACTAACACTACCCCCCTCCCAAGGAGGCGACGTCCGCGGCACCTGCAAACTGAAGGTACGCTTGAAGGCAAGCGTTGTCGGGAGACAGCGAGGACAAAGGAACCCAGCTGTCGTCGGCTGCATCGTAACCACGCCAACGAACCAAGAAGTCGATGAAAGAGACACCCCCATGGAGACGGCGACGGTGCCTGAGGATGCGCTGGATCTGGTAGTCGGGCTCGTCGGTGTCAACAGCTACTAGCAGTGGAGTGCGATCACGGCCCGAGAAGGTGGGATTGGGATGGGTGTATGGACGAAGGAGAGACACGTGGAATGACGGGTGCATGCAGAAATGAGCGGGAAGGCGGAGGCGGAGGCGGTATGCGACTAGACCTAATGCGCGCTCAATGACGAATGGACCAATGAAGCGTGGACGAAGCTTGCTGTCCTTTGAGTTGAAGGTTGCGGCTATCCAAGAGAACACGGTCGCCGACTGCGAATGACACCTCACGACGACTGCGGTTGGTGGTGCGTGCCATGCGTGCATTTGCGAGCTCAAGGTGCTTCCTCACGTGATCGTGAATGAAGGTGAGATGCTGGTGGAAGTTGTCCGCACGAGGGATAGTGGGTGTGAGATCAACACGAGTGGGGACATTGGGGTGCTGACAGTACAGTGCGAAGAACGGCGACATGCCTGTGGACGAGTGGTGCGTGTTGTTGTAGGCGAACTCGGCCATGCTCAGCTTCTTGTCCCATGCGGTTGCGTCGTGCATCGTGATGCTGCGAAGAATCTGCTCCAAGGTCTGGTTCACACGCTCAGTCTGTCCGTCTGTCTTTGGATGGTACGCTGAAGACACGGCTAATCAAGTCCCAAACACTGCGAAAAGCTGCTTTCAGAACTTCAAAGTGAAACGAGGGTCGCGGTCTAAGATGATGGAATCTGGAACCCCGTGCAGTCGGACTACGTTATCTACGAACAGCGTCGCAGCTTCATCTGCTGTCACCTTGCCGTGCGTGGGGATGAAGTGCGCTGCTCGAGAAAAATTATCCACTACCACGAAGATGGCATCGTGACCCCTAACTGTGCGCGGTAACGCCATGATGAAATCCATTGTGACGACCTGCCAAGGGCGGCCGGGTGGTGGAATCGGCTGCAAAAGTCCTGCCTTGCACTGGCGAGAGGACTTCGTACGCTGACACGTGTCGCACAAGCGAATGTAATCCTCTACGTCTGTTGCAAGCCCTGGCCAGAATTACGTGCGACTAAGCGTCTTAGCCGTCTTATTTGCTCCAAAGTGACCTGCACTAACTACATCGTGTGCCTCAGAAAGAAGGAGCTGTTGAAGAGGGCGGTAGGCGGGAACCCAAATCCGTGCTGTACCCTTCCGTATATTGACACTACCCTGCACCTCTGCTCCTGCGGGCGGCTGCGGTGTGAAGTCGAGATCTACTGTGTAACCATGCTCGAAGAGTGCTATGAGAAGTGGATGGCCGGCAGTGACTGTGAGACTAGCGAGCTGACAACTAGGGCGAGTGAGCGGATCTGCTGGGTTGCGCACGCCTGGCTTATACTCTATCCTATAGTGGAAACTCCCCTCCATAAAATCCATCCATCTAGCTTGGCGACGACTCAGTTGCGGCTGCAAATTGAGGAAGTAAAGCGAACAATGGTCCGTGCGTATAACACTATCTGCCCCCTCTCGGTAGCACCTCCACACCTTACACGTATGGATGATCGCGAGCGCCTCCTTGTCGTGTATGGGATAGTTCAACTCCACTCCCCTAAGCTTACGCGACTCATACGCAATTGGCTGCAACCCACGTCCCTGGTCCTGAAGAAGCACTGCTCCTGTGGCCCGATCTGATGCGTCGGCCACTACAACGTACGGGAGGAAGAACTTGCACTTCGACTGCTTCGCGTACAACTGCTCCTTCCGCAAGACCTCAAAACCTTCTGCAAGTGCTGCACGTGCTCCTCTTTTGTCGTGGAGAAGACTAGGATGTCGTCTAGGTAAACTACAATGAACAACCCGAGGAACTCGGAGAGGACTGTGTTCATGAGCGTCTAAAACGTCGCTGGGGCGTTGGTCAAACCGAACGGTAGAACCCTAAACTCGTACAACCCTTGCTTCGTACGAAACGCCGTCTTGTGCTGGTCCTGTGGAACTACATGAATCTGATGGTAACCCGAACGAAGGTCGATCTTTGAGAAGACTCTAGCGCCCTGCACTGCATCAAGAAGATCCTCTACTCTCGGCATCGGGAATCTATTCTTGACGGTGGCGGCGTTCAGTGCGCGGTAATCTATGCACATCCGTAACCCTCCGTCTTTCTTAGGCGCGAACAGGATCGGTGCTGCCCAAGGCGATCTTGAGGGCTGTATGAACCTCTACGTGAGAAAGTGCCTAACCTCCTGCATCATCTCCTCTGTCTCTGCTGGACTCAACCTCCACTCCGGCTTCGCTACTGGTCTGCTCCCTGGCTCCAACTCTATTCGATGGTCTACTGCTCGGCTGGGAGGTAACCCTTGGGGCAACTCATCGGAGAAGACGTCTGCGAACTCTGCTAATAGTGCACTCATCTCAGCAAGAAGAGTCGCCTTCTCACCAACTGCTGCACTCCCTCCTTTCCCCTCCTCAGCCTCCACCTCCTCAAGGAAAACCGCAAAGATCCGTGCCGCTCGCTTCACCAGCTGCCGCACACGAACATCATTGATGATGGCTGTGGAGGATGTGGCCCCATCACTCCACTGTGGCAGCTCTCAGAACGCCCCGTCTACCTTGACGCTGCAACTTCCCTGAGCCCAATCGAACCGTGTACTAACCGTCCATAGCCAATCCCTACCGGAGATGAAGTCATAACCGTCCAGCGTCGCAGAGTCGAAATCACGCCTAACTATGATCGGTCCTAGCACTACCCGCAACTTGCGAATGATCGGTCCTATATGGAGAGGCGTCCCATCTACCATGCGAGCATCCTTGAAGTTGACTGCGGAATTTGCTTCTAGATGGAGGCGACTAACAAGCGATGATGAAACAAACGAGTGGCTAGCTCCGCTATCTACGAGAATCTGGACAAGAACTCCGCGAAGCTTCCCTAGAAGCACGACTGGACGATCAACAACGTCTACCGAGTTCGGCGTAGATGACTGCTTCCAAGCTGTCTCTTCTACGTTGGTGGACTTGGCGGGTACGGAAGCCTCCACACCAGCTAGCGACTTGCTATCTAGTGGCGGTTTCCATTTCCCTACTGCCGCTCCTTAAGCTGTGGGCATTCGCGCTTCATGTGTCCCGGCTTTTTGCAGTAGTGACAGTTCCCCCTAAAACCCGTTCGCTGTGAGGCGTCACTGTTAACTGCACCAATCTCCATGGGTTACGGTCCGACCCTCGAGCGAGAATCGTTGATCGGTCTGTTGTATCCCCTATTGCGATCGTCACAACCCCATCGGCTTCGTACTACGTCGACGCGTTCTGCTGCTGCGACTACTGACTCGAAGGTGGACAACCCGTGAATCGCTATGATCTCCGCTATGTCCGGCTTCAACCCTTCGAGGTAGCGATCGCGCATCTGTGCTTCCGTGATATCGTCTATTTCATTGCAGATGCTCAAGAACCGTCGTGTGTACTCCTAGACGTTTCTTATCTGTCGGAAATGACGCAGACGCTTCGTAACAGCTCCGGAGGTGTTCAACAAGTCGATCCTACTTTTCATCGCCGCTTCAAATCCTTCCCATGTGGTCGGAACCGTGATAACACCCAAAGCTAAACTCCCTAAGCTCGAAGTTGCAGCTTCATGCCCCACGCCCTGTTGATGCCCGTCTGTCTGAGCCCTTCTTACAGCAGTTTGCGTGAGTTGGCGCCACCACTCTTAGGCCGGGCCCCTCAGCAGCGTAACGGCGTACTCGATCCGCTGCTGCGCATCCGCCTCTTGCCCACCGCTCGCGGCGAAGTAGTTGTTCAGCATGAAGAGTCACGTCGCGCTGATTTGGGTCGAGCGACTCGGGTTTCTGCAGCTTGAGTGCGCTTCGACGTTCCGGCAGTGCTTCCGCGCTAGTCGACGTGTTCGGTGCAAGAGATGGTGCGGCATGACCATGAGAAATTGACGCGAATTCACGAAGCTGTTGCAATTCAGCCCGTACCTGACGATTTTCCAGCGTCAATGTTTCGAGTTGGCGCATGAGTTGAGCAAGCGTGTTGCCCATGTCGTTGGGGAGTGCGTTCATGCTCTCGTCCATGTTGGCTCGACAACTCCAAGTCTGCAAGTCGGCACCACGAGACGATGACGTCGTAGTCTTGTCGTCGACGATCGCTCATTGGAAGTCGCTCCCCGCGAAGGCTCTGATACCAAGTGTTAGGCCCGCTGGCCTAAATCCGCTAAAGATTAGCGGAGTCGACTAAGTCGAGGATAAACGCGGCGGAAGACTTTGGCGAAAGAGAGTGTTGGCGAAATAGACGAAGAAGTAACTAAGTAATTGAAGAGTTGAATGAGAATTGATTGATATGATGGAATACAAGCAAGGTTGATATAACATGCAAGAATGAATGATGGAAAGTACTTCGTGGGACTAGAAAGTAGAAGCAAGAAAAGTAGAGTGCCACGTGGCACTAGGAAATCTGAAAAGATAAGGATAAGGATGGGGTTGGGAGTGCTGTTCAAAGTGAACAGTAAACACCCCTCTAACAATGTACGCGTACGAATAATGCAATAATGCAAAAACCGGAAATGCTAAGTGGACATCTGAAATGTGGAGCTGAGTGTACGTATACATAGTGAAGGTCGTTGGTTTCCGCGAGGGTCATGGGGACACGGAATTATTGGTCATCGCTGGAAGCTCAAATTGAAGGACAAGATTGGAACGCAACGGCAAAAGCGCTCTGGTTCACGATGAAGATGCGGGGGATATATTTCTCAGCATTCCCACTTCATACCATCAGCAAGCCTTCACTGCCAACAGCGCCCGTTTCACCTCATCACCTCGCCCGCACGAGTGTTTCTCGTCTAACTGCAAGCTCCCATGCGAACGTCAGCTTTTCCTTAGTCACACGAGCACAGCGCCATGGCCAAAATTCAGTCCGCATCGTCGGCGCGCCACGTCTTCACTTTTGCCTTGCTACTCCGCATCAATCTGGGCGGTGATTCTCCCTCTCCCGTGCCTCGCGGAAGTAGTTGCCCTCTCCGACGTGCTGGCTCAAATCCACAATCACGCCCAATTTCCCTCCAAGGACCTATCCTCTGGAATGGTGGAGTTTGCCGCGGGATACGACAAGGTGACCGACATCAGCAGTGTCTTGCTTCTGCTCCCTGACAACGACGCCTGGATCAAGCGCTCTCGGGCTGCCAGGGCAT